CGGACAGTGGAAGGATATGGGTCTGAAGAATGCCCCACCAAGAGTTTTAGCTCAACAGATTGTGGCCAACTATGAAGCATGGTGGTTTCAGCGTGATGGTTTGGGGAGCTGTTTGGGTTGGTGGGAGATCGAGCTTAGTGGAGAGCGTTGGCAACATAAATTTTGCGAAATATGTCGAAATATTGGAGGAAGGACTCTTGCCACTTTATTCCTCGGGTTTCGTGGACAAGAACACAACGTTGTTCCAGGAAGATTGAGCACCGTGTCACACCACTAGAAACACCCAAAAGTGGCAGGAAGAAAATGGTATCCAGAAGTTGCCCTGGCCGAGCCAATCTCCTGACATGAACCCCATCGAAAACCTCTCGGCCATACTCGACCGGCAAGTCAAGAAACAACAAAAAACCAACTTCCATCTAGTAGATCTTCCTTTCGCTTCGTGGAGTTCGTTGATCCTTTGGGGCATCGTGAGAATCATCTCGTCAATTTTAGATTGTGGGATTTTCGCCCACTCTTGCTTCAACACTTGGAGTAGATCGCTCTTCATTAATTAAATTATAAATATATCAATTCATGTGAATATGACTGAAAAATTTCATTTTTTCTGAAAAGGTGGTGTCTATTTACTTGTGACCACACTGTGTACACACTATATTGAGAGTTATAAGTATTATATCTGTAAAGACTTTAAATGAGTACAAAAAGGTCATGTAGTCGATCAAATTGACTGAGCCTGTATTGAGAGAGTTAACACGGACTTATAAATGAGAGAGCAGCCATCAATTTACACAAAAATAAAAAAAATAAGTTTACAATGATAGGCCTCCCAGTCCATTTTTAAGAAAAAAATAGACTAAATAAATAGGCTGTAACACGAAAATATAGGTTTTTATATGCTCACTAGTCATAAAGTTTCCTGCCTAATTACTTTGACAAATAACCAGCTTTTCAACCTAAACCACTGTGTAAAATCACAATAATATTGGGACCAACATAGGTATTACATGTTTCTTCCAAGACTACTTACCAATTTATCTGGCTTTTAATTTGTTTTTACCATTATAGTGAAGAGCTCTATCTTTTTTCCAAGTTTATACAAGAAGCCTCACATTGTCTTAATTAAACAACTCCCTCAAAGCTCATTTTTCATGACTTCAAGGAAATGTGCAAACCCTGACAGGTTCAATGGACAATCTGTCCCTGTAAACAATGTGAATGAGAAACCATACTTTTGTATATGTACACTTGTCTAGCATCAATTTCAAGCCTGTCTTCCTTCCAGCTGCAACATAATTCTCAGGTTTTCCACAGTAAACCTTTAGCCAAATACCAGAATGTCATGCATAAAAATGTGACAACTTTCCTATTCTAGCCTTATTAGCCTCTAATAAGTGGTAGGTGCATTACTAAGGCTGAATAGCACGACACAAACGTCATACAAGTGATCACAGATCTGTCTTCATCATCCAGTCCAACTCATAAAATTCAAGGACTTTTTAAAAATGAAAGGACTGATACAAGATATAAGAGGTATAATGATACTACGTTTTTGCCAGATACTGAAATCAATACTAATTTCAGATAAACTGATGCCATGAAAAGCAATGATATAGTACAAAAATAAAGTGACCTGATACTAGATAATATGAGACTAATACAAAAGAAAACAATTAATATGTCCCTTGCATTTACACTTTTCTTTTCAAAAGTTGTTTATTACTGCACACTGGATGTAACAATAGGTATGTATGATGTAATTTTTTAAATCTTTTAACTATTGAGACTGCTAGGATTTATGAAATAAGATAAGTGACCTTTAAATTCCAACTATGAATTACTTACTGGATTTCTTGATGTTCTGAATTAAACTTTAACACAGGAATGTTACAACAGATAATGCAAACTTCAGAAAATACAAAATAAAACAATTTTCACAGCTACAGCTTTAGGGACCAACTAGTGTGTGCAAGAACTTTATTTAAAAAAGCAATGTTGTGTGCATTTTTAGAATTACTGTAAACTTGTTTGGTGATTACAAGATGTTTATGAAGCCAATTCTCCTAAACAAAGATATTGTACATGCACATGGAATACACATAGGTCTAAATACTACAGAAAATGTTCACATAAAATTATTTCCCCCATGCACACTATTTATCAAATTAAAATCTTAGAAATGAGAGAATATTAACCACAGGCACATACCATTTTTTCTATATAGCATTTATAAAGTGTGTATTATATACCGAGTTTACTTCTCAGAATAGGCCTCAGTTTATGTGTTTCACAATTCACTTGGAGAGAAGAGCAACTTGTACTTGTCTCATGTCAAGAACGTTTACATATGAGAATTGGGCAAATGGTTTAACTTTAATTCTTTATCTTTTGGGTAAGTAGACTAAATTCCAACTCTAATATATGTACAATCAGACTGTGTTTGAGTAGAAAGCTGCATTTTATAAACATTTAATTTGAACAAAAATATATATATAACTGTCAGATTAGATTAGGTTTAAAGGTCTAATCCATTGATCTATCCTTCATAACTCCATGCACTGACAAAATCTTTGTAAAAAGCTAATGACCCATTAGAAGCATATGATTTATAGATACAAACAGAATACAGATATATCCAAGGTTATAAGAAACAAGTTTGAAATCATTTATACTTTTCTTTTACTTCTTTTTTTTCCACTGGATATTTATCCAGATTGGCAAAAACAAGTCTAAGGACAAGCATCAGCCTGTGGACTAGTGTTTGGGAACCACTGGTTTGCTCAACATGTCTTCAATAAATACTGAACTAGACCTCTATGCCTTCATGATACTGTTTGATATGAGTAAATATTAAACTATGGCATTACACAAACAATATTATTTTGGATCTTCTGAGGGAGTATAATGACAGGCTGCTTTCTTGATAGTTTCCATGGGATATTACAAGAAGAATTTAAAAAAAAAAAGATTAAATCTAAATTAATTTCACACTTCTTAACTGTTGCAAGTATTTTAAATTCTAGCATTTGGCCACAGTTTACTGGTAAAAATAAAAAAATAAACAGGCACCATGAAATTCACTCTGTCATTAACACTGGTTGTATGACTGAATTTGCTTTTCCCTCTTGTACAGCAACAGATGTTGATAGTTTTCACACATCAGGCAATGTTAGATTTTATTTTTATCCTGCTATTATAAATACCAGATTTACTCTAGCAATCTTCAGTTCTTTTAACCTTGAATATTTGTCTGCATAATAATATCATATGAAGGCTTGAATACTGCTAGTAGTTTGAATTTCTGACATCTATGTATGATTTCTTGACTGTCCAGTTAACAATGGCCACAAGTGCTATATGTTTAAGTAGTGATGTGTTTATAGTCTAAGACTTTATGAATTACTCTATCATATAGCAAAAGGTGGAGACTTTATGTTGGAGTTGATCAGCTGGTGATCAAAAAGGTCCTTTCCAAATTTTGGCAATAAAACATATAATTTCAGATGTACTGAAAGTAATATCTGGCTACTTTACTTTCAGATATATTATTTCAAAAGAAGTTATCTGGTCACATTGTATTTATCCTAATTTGTCTAGATATTCTAAATTTTATGTAAAGAACTGTGTATCTCAGCTAATTCTAGTTATACCTATTCCTGAAGAAGGACTTCTAAATGAATGGTTAGTCTTAAAGTATTTCTTCGATCTAATTTCTAAAAGAATTTCTGTCTGTTGATTTAACTAGATAAAACCATTAAATGATATAACTTAAAATAACCAGCTTATAGTGATATTAACCCCTAATATCTAAGCTGGTTAACTTTAAATTTTTTTTACATAATTTAAATCAAACATTGCCAGAAAATTGACTTGTAACTTGTTTAAAGAAGAATCTCATATACTGCTTCTGGCCATCTTTACTGAAGAACTTACTTAGCTGCTAGTCTACTGGTACCAATTTCTCCCTTTACACAAAAGTTATGATCAAATCCTTCTCCTGGTACTCGGTTCATCACCGAAGCCAAGTCTGTAGGTTTTCGCAAATCAAACACTGTGCCTGTGACATCAGCTATTTCTCCTACAATATAAAAATCCAGCCATTTAATGAAAACAAACATTCACTATATTCATGAATTATTTAGGAATAACAAAGACAAGAAAGTAAAAATCCATTAGTTAGATAAAGATACATTTTTTTTTTCATATTATTAAGAAAACTCTACCTCCCAAAACTATATCTAAAGCTTAAAATGAAGCTCTATGAATTTTTTGTATTTTACTAAAAATGTAACAGATAGTACAAACAAACTTAGTTTTTATCACAATAAATTTGTACATTTCTAATTTCAAAAATACTTCTCAAGTAACAAGAAGATACACTGAGAATTACACATAGATTAACCCTTTGTGAACAGCAAACCTATCAGTTTAGTAGTGGCAATGAAATATTTGTCAGTATTAAAAGTTTTACACTTTTGATGTAGATTGAAATTTTTAGTTGGTTTGACTTGATAAATGAATTTTGGCATATAGTTGCAACATTTATCAAATTTTCTTTCTTTAGCAGATTTTTAATCTTTCTGCATTTTTTACATATTAGCAGATTCTGTTGCATTTACTTATTATTTGTGCTGCAAGTATTTTTGAGAACTTTATTTCAATAACAAATTTTAATTTCCTTGGAATGTTATTTATTTTACGTTTATACATTCCTTACCTTCCAAAACATATTTAAAATCAAATATTTCCTACAATTCAGGTATCTGTTATGAATGCTGAAGATGACCATATTTGAAATAATGCAAGGAAAACAGATTATGAAAATCTTTAATAGAGATATATCACATATTGATGTTTCTACTATTTCCAACAGATCGAGAAATCATCAACAGAAAAATGGCTTGCAGAAGATGTAACTATAATAAAATTTTAAAACAAACTTCATTGCAAATAATATAACTAGCTTTACATAGGGAAAAAATTGCAGAATGTGGTTCTAAAATTTACTTGGAAAATAGTCAAAATCACCTTTACTGAATCAAAATATGATCAAGCATGTTTTAGAAGCCCTTTGATAAATTAAAATTCACACACACTACTTGGGTAAATAAAAATCAAAGATAATCCTAACTATTTTTATCTCTTTATGTAAAATAAACAAATATTGAATAACAAAGCAGTTTTAATACACAACAAATCAAAATGCTAAACACAAGTGAAGTAATGAAGATGCTTATTTTATTCATAGGTTTTTATCTATAATGTAGCTCGTTAGTTAAATATAGCATCTTAAACATTTGGAACTTATATTACAAATAATAATAATTAGTTTTATCACTAGTTTGATAGTTCCACTGTGAAAAGCATAGCTGTAACCGTGTACAGTCACTTCGGTCATTTGATAGTTTCACTGTGAAAAGCATAATTATAATTGTACACAGTCACTTCAGAAAAGCTACAGTCTGATCTAAATATATATATATATATATACCTAATCCAATGAAGACATGTAATTCACATGCTAAATATCAAATTTATAATTTTAAAAATGATTTTCAAGCAACAAGAAGGTACAAATGATAAATGAAAACCATTCATTAACAGAATGATGCAGATATAAATATATAGCGAAAGGCACAAAATACTAAAAAGTTACTTTGAGAAATATTTTCAAAAGCTTCAACCTAAACAGTTCTTTAAGAGCAGGTAATAACAATTACATGTCAAACTTTTGTTTATACAATGAGAGAATATTTTAGCAACAGTTTCTCCTAAAAACTGATGATGCAGTAGGTTCAGAAGGCAGGGTTCCCAGTCATAAGAAAAATACAAAATTCTCTCTCACCTTTTTTCATATCCAAAATGTGACAAAATATTTTTAATTACCTCACATATAGCATTTTTTTCCTTAACACAGATATAGCACAGTGGTAAATTAAATATTTTAAGAATATATTTTGGTACAAGTGAACAAACTATATATATATATCATAAATATTAAGCATAATATATTTTATATCCCAAGCCTACCATAGCTGGAACTAAAATGTATAAAACTAACCATGTTTTAAAATTTCTAGACCACTGTTTAATGTCCAATTTCCCTAATCTAACTCAAAACTCACAGACTTTTCCCTGATCCCAAAAAATATTTTCCTTGCTGAATTCTTCCTGACCAATAGGAACTTTGGTAGGATTTTAGTTAGGTACTTCTATTACTAACAAACTTCACAGAATTCAGAACTCACCTGTTGGTATTAGTGTCTCATCTACAGGGGTATAATAATCAGCATTCATGCTAACAGTGTGATTATAGACTGGCCCAGATCCCTGTCAAGTTATATCAAAATGAATGGTAAAAACATATAAAAATATTTTATCATACAGCTATAACATAATCTGCATCTAAATTCATCTCTCAACATTAAAACCCGAAATGTGTTACTATGATAACTGTATAGTTGACTACTTTGTAATTTATTCATATAACTTACTCCCTAAATCTTTCAGATTTGTTATACCTGATCAACAGCTTACAGGTTGACCACTTTTAATTTGTAATTATTATGCATATCATCATAAATATTTCATATTTGGTAAAAATTAGGAACACCAAAAAAATCACATCTAACCTATTGTCAAAACATACTTCACACTCCAGTATATATTGTATCACTTTTAAACACTAGCCCAATCTTCTAAATGATAAAGGCAGAAATTACAAAGAAAAAAAAATAAGAGAAAGAACAAATTATTGTTGAGAGTTCTCCATATGTTACTAAAATATATGCAAGAAGAAAAAATTTAATACACCTCATTTTCCTACTGTTCTATCAATGAACCTTTTTTAATGATATTTTATAAATGAAAGAAAAACACTAGAACAAGTTCACAATTTAAGTGGAATATAATAAAGTTTTGTTTGTTACAGGCTAACTTTGAACAGGTTTGCAACAAACCCAACTCTTCAACTGCATATACACAGTTCTACTTACTACAGCCAAACTATGAGCTTCAATTAAAACATTCTCTCAGTACACGGTGGACTATACTAAACGTATTTCCTAGTCTTGTTCGTGTTCTTTTATTCTATTGAGTAGACATATAGTGGTAAAGTCCACCTGATTTTTTCCAGCAAAGTCATGAAAAACTTGTATAACAAAATTAATATTCATTTTTGGAACCAAATCTTTAAAACCTAAAAAATTTCATTACTCTAAAGATGTATGCTACAGATCAAAAGTTTGGAAGCAACAAGTGATATACAGAGGACTGGGGGTGAGTAAATACTTTTCATTCTCCTTCACTCTAATCCATGTATTACAAAAAACCTTGCATCCCTGAACAGAAAAGTCTTCTGTTTAAAAATTTACTATAGACATTGTTGAGAAATTTATCTCATATGTGTACTATTAGCCCAATGTGTTCTCATTTTACTGGGAAAGCTGTACAACTGGAGAGGGTGGGTGTATTATATTGTTTGATAACAACTGCCATAAAGGCTGGGAAATATTTTTAATACAGTTCCCCATACATTGAAGGAGTAAACATAGTGTTACTGTTGTAGCTGACAACTTCAATACAAAGAATAGCACTGAAAATAAAACAATCAAACAAAGGGGTAAACATAGTATTACTGTTGTAGCTGAAAACTTCAATACAAAGTATAGCACTGAAGATAAAACAATCAAACAAAGAGGTAAACATAGTGTTATTGTTGTCGCTGACAACTTCAATACAAAGAATAGCACTGAAGATAAAACAATCAGACAAAGAAGTAAACATAGTGTTATTGTTGTCGCTGACAACTTCAATACAAAGAATAGCACTGAAAATAAAACAATCAAACAAAGGGGTAAACATAGTGTTACTGTTGTAGCTGACAACTTCAGTACAAAGAATAGCACTGATGATAAAACAATCAAACATTTGAGAGTCACGTCATTGCTAGTTGGATGCAAACTTTAAATCAACAAAAATAGTTTAATCTCTCCTCCCCATGTTGTGAAATTATTCTAGATTTCTTTCACTAATAAGATCCAAACACAATTCAGGAAATTTTTCAATAAAAATTTGTGTAATTTGTGCATCAACAGCAATCTGATATTTCTAAAAATATGTATATAATAGTTACATTATCCTTCTTTTAATCAAAGACCCACAATATTTTGCAACATAACAGAATGTACTTGTGTGAGGTATAAGACTTACTAAAGATAAATACACTCAGCTAAAAACTAAATGTAGATGATATCCTATACTTACATGACCTCCAAGGTTAAAATAGGAGTGGTTTGTTAGATTCAACGGAGTGGTCTGTGTTGATGTAGCTTTGTAATCTATTAAAACTTCATTGTCATCTGTAAGTTGGTATGTTACATAGCACATGACTTCTCCAGGATACCCTTGGTCCCGTGATGGGCTATGGTGAGAGAAGGTCACACTGCTACCTTCTACCAAAGAATCCCACACAATCTAGGAGAGTCACATTAAAAACCCTGTGTAAACAGGCACATGAAATTTAGACACTATTAGACCTTAAAAAAAAGGATTAAAATATTTTTACTCATATTTAATGTAGAAACACTTCTTTAACTCTATCAACATGGGCTCGGTCAATTTGATTGACCATGTGACCTCTTTGTACTCATTTAAGGTCTTTATAGATTGAATACTTATAACTTTCAATATAGTGTATATATATATCTTCACAAAATTTGGCAGTTTTTCAGTTAATATGTCTTTTACATGCAAAAATGATATTTTTTAGTGAAATATTTTTAATAAAATAAAGATTTGTCCATAAATATACTGAGTATTTGTTTTGAATAGTCTGTGTGCAAAGTAATTTTCATGTTAAAATCAAAAATACTTTTCCTTATCTCAAAAATCTCAAATTTCCTTTGTGTAATCCTTAAAACCTCCTAAATGCATTTCAAACATTTGTTTTTTCAGTAAAACTTTATAGTTTATCTGTTATTATCTCTACCCTATATCAAAATGGGATCAGTCAATTCGACCAACCTCGTAACACCAAAAAAAAATTGAAATAAACCTAAATTACCCTTTTTTTCTTTCTACAATGACTTCAAATTGTAAAAAGACACTACATTTGTTAATCCTAAGTAGCTCTAAATTTGTAACAGTATACATCAATTTATAATAAAATTTTATTGTCCTTTGAACCATGTCTAACTACTATTTGCACCATTATAAGTTGTAAATCACTCAGGGAACATGCAGCTCATGTTACGCTAATGAATTACATTACCCACAAGCTGCTCATGTGTGTGCCTCGTGAAACATTTTTAATATAAT